TAATTATTCATTTCAGTGAATTTAATTCCAATTTAAGAATTGAAGTTTGGATTTCAAAATTAATTACTCAATTGATTCAGAAATCTATTTTAAAATCAATGTTTTGATTTTAGTAAAGCCTTTCAAGTTCTGATTAAATTTTTTATTTGATTAAATTAAGCTCTGATTTAATTATTTAAAGTTAGTTAATTAAATCTCTCTTTGAAAATCATTTGACTTTACTTAATTCTTAAATGGTTGCTCTTTGTTATCAAATTAATCAGATTAATTAACCTTAAAGTTTAACTATTTTAGTTAAATCAGAATTGAAATTCCATTAATTATATTATCCTGAATTCAAATTGATTAGAATTAGAGTTATTAAATTTTATTTTTAAATAATTTTAAATTCATTTATTAATCAAATTTTGATTTGAATTTTTAAATTTGCAAGTTGTATGTTTCCAACTTTTCCAAAAATTCACAAGTCCAATATTTTCGGAGAAATTTCGACAGCCTCCCAGCGTCCTCTCATCGATGCCGGGAGGTAAGAACTGACTCGACTCAGCCGGAATAAATCGACGGTGAGGATATTTGGGAGAGCGAATCTATCCCATAAAAGATTCTTCAAGTCTTCTAATGTGCATGACTTGCCAATTTAAGTAATTTAATTTAATTTTAAAAATATTTTTGGTCCCCTCGAAAATCCGGCAGTCTTCCGATGTCCCCTCCCCGACGCCGGGAGGTAAGGACTAGAGAGGGAGGGGATCGGGAGAAGCTCGATCGAGCGGCTCAGGCAAGGATCGGAGGCATGCACGCGATGGTGGGGAAGGCGGTGGACGGGCTCGGTAGCGGCGACAGTTCGGGCGGCTGAGGTTGGCGGCGGGACCTTGGTCAGCAAAGGTCGGCTGGAGTTTGTGGGATTCGGCCGAAGCAAACGAGCAAATCATGTGGTCCTAGAGCATAATGACTTCGACGACTGGAGCCGGAGATGAAGGGGGCAGAAGGTTGGAATCGCTTTGGGCTCGGAAATGGAGGCACGGCGGCGATCGTCGGCTCCGGCGGATGGGAGAAAGGTAAGTCTTAAATTCTTCTTTGCTTGCGATTTCTTCTGGTCTTGAGAATGTTTGTGTGTGTGAGAGAGCCGAATGAGAGATTTCGTTGTTTTAAGTCGTGAGTTTGCAGTTATTTGCGATCGTGGGGAAGTTATGTACGATTGTGGGTTTGTCGACGGTTATGGTCGTGAAAGCCAGATGAGGTGTTGGGTTCTTTGATAGTTAGAGGTCAACAAAAGTTTCAAGAGAATTGCTCTGGAGAGTTCTAGAAAAGAAAGAGGTTAATAATGCTTATATTCAAGTTATTAAGAATATATATGCAGGAGTTGTTACTTATATTCAAACACAAGGTGGTTTTACTAAATATTTTTCTATTTCAGTAGGATTACATCAAGGATCAGTTTTAAGTCATATATTTTTGCTCTAGTCATGGATGTTCTTGCTAGACATTTGCAAGAAGATGTACCATGGTTTATTCTTTTTGCTGATGATATTCTCCTTATTGATAAGACTAGAGAGGGTGTTAAAGATAAACTTAAGCTATAGAGGTCAACCTTCAAATCTAAATATTTTTGTTTGAGTTGATCTAAAACTTATACATGGAATGTAATTTTAGTAGTAATAAATCTAGTAGGGGGGAGGGGTTGTGACTTTGGGCGATCAAGTCATTAATAATAGATGGGGATATTATTAGTAGAATTCAAGTTAGATGGTTGAAGTGGAGGAATGGGGTCCATTTGTGATAGAAAAGCACCCCTCAAACTTAAGAGAAAATTTTATAAAATGGTGGTAAGACCTATAATGCTTTATGGGGCATAATGTTGGCCATTAAAAGACAAACATAAAATTAAGTGTTGCAGAGATGGGGATGCTTAAGTGGATGAGTGGCTTCACTCTTGGAGCAATAGTGAAACAAGTATATATGTGAAATGTTGGAGTATCTACAATAACAGATAAGATTAGAGAAAGCCATCTTAGATGATTTGTCACATAAAACATCAGCCTTTCGAGGACCCGTTAGGAGAGTGGATGTATTAGATTTGGCCTATATTAAGAAAAGTAGAGGTAAACTTAAAAAGACTTGGTTAGAAAATATTAGAACTAACCTTTTTTATTAGAATTAAATGAAAATTTGACTCTTAACATAACACAATGGAGAAAACGATTCACATAGTGAGATAAAGACTTGATATTATTATAGTTATCATTTACACATACATACACACACATTTTCTACTCAATACTCACCATATTAATTCATGTGGTAGACAATTTTATGCCTTCTCAAAGTTATATAGAATCAAATGAATGAGATTTAATTCAACATCTTTAGCCTATTGAATCAAATGAGCATGAGCATAATGATCATAATGAATCAAACACTTTCCTATCAAGCCTCCAACAAACCAAACATAAACACTAAGTTCCTAAGAAAAACATGAACCGAATTCTAATGGACTCAATATTGAACGAGCCAAACACACACAAATTCAGCTCGCTCAGTCCTGACTTATTATAACTCTATTCATAGCTAATCTTCATGGAATAAAATCAAACTAATGTTCCAATATCAATTTAATTTTTCTTGACCTTTATTTAATCAACATGTCCCCTAACTCTAGCGCATCACTCAAAAGTTTGGTTCCATAGAGTTATAGTTAATAAAATTATGAATATCCTTTATTCTTAAAAATTGGAAATATACACTTTCCGAAATCTTTGATATCATATTAGTATTAATCATTGTTTAAAGAATTTTAACAAAGTATTTAAAACTTTCACATAGCTAGCATTGTTAAATCAATATAACCAAGCTATAAGATTGATTCAATGAGAATTGCTAGTTCATTGTTTCAATTTGGTCCAATATTGAACCAACATTTTTTTAACCATAAAAAATAATAATAATAATAATAAAAACCCTATCCAACCAATAAGTCAGATCAGATGGATAACTCATAATCACATTAGGTTTTTATGAAGCTCCTCTCCATGAAAATTGAACACCCTACCCCCACCCCCTGTCATCAAATGATTCTAAAATGATTTGATTATCCATCATGAGACCTATTACAAGCTCACTGGCTACAATGAACACATAATGGTGGCCAAATTCTCAAGATCAACAATATCAACACGGCCTACTAGTTCAGAATAATGGAGGTACCAAATCTCATCATGATTGTCGAACTCACAATAGCAATAATGCAAACTTAGGATATATTCATAAAAATAAATCTCTTGTGAATTAAAATTTATTTAAAATTTTCATGCTTTATATTTCAAAAAAAGTATTAGTTTTAAAATTAGTTATTATGATATCATTCTATGATTCTAACGTTAGAAAGTGGCCAAACCTTTTGAATTGTCACCCAATAATCAATGCAGATTTAATGGCATTGCCATAACTTTCAAATTTTAATAGATATCAATGCAGATTAATGGCATTGACATAACTTTCAAATTTGAATAGATATCAAATCAGCCCAAATATTTATCTCTAGGAATCTTTGAAACTACCTCACCTTTACTTTTTTTTTAATTAATTTTATTTTTATTTAGTTTTTCTATAAAAACAACTTTTTTTCTATGTTGAGAATTTCATTGTATAGTTTCAATTTCTTAAAAGAAACATATCATTAGGGGTGTCAAAAAAGGTTTTCGGGTAGGGTTCGGGTCGAAGCCGAAGTTGACCCGGGTCCAAACGGGTTGACCCTAACCTGGCCTAGTTATGTAAACGGGTTAGAATTTTTGACCCGGACCCAACCCACCGTGTTACTAGGTTGACCCGACCCGCTAACCAGCCTAACCTGAATCTCCTTCCCGGTCCCAAGCGCAAGCAAAGTGCGAACAGTTCAGGCATAAGCGGGCGAAGGCCGAAGCATGCGTGCAAGGAGTTGGGCGTTCGGGTGAGGTTCGTACGAACTCAAGCGCGCGGGCACAGGTGTGTCGCGTGTGGTGTGGGAGCGAGCTCCCGACGAGGGTTCGAGCAATGACTCGGTGCAGACACGAGCTCGCTGGATAGCTTGAGCGGTGCTGGTGTGGATTGCGGCCATGAGGGCGTAGGAGTGGGTGTGACCCGCATAGGTCAAGGTGCAGTGCAAGCAGGTCACAAGCGCGGGATCGAGGCCATCGGCTACAAGGTATCGGGTCATTTTGGGTTGATTTCGGATTTTCGGGTCAACCCGAACACGACCTGCTTTTGCAAACGGGTATAAATCTTGAACCTGAACCCGATTGGTATGTCAAACGAGTTGACCAAAACCCTAAATTTTTAGGTCGGATCTAAATCAAGTTTTGGATCGGGTTAAATATTAACACTCCTACATATCATTAGTCTGATAATGTCACCAACAAATAGAATGCTATTATTTTTACTTATAATACACTGAATCTAATCAAAATCAATAGATTTATTTTCTTTTACTTGTTATTTAATAAATTTCCTTTTCTCTATTAGTACCCAGCCTACTATATAAATAATCAAAAGTCATAGCCCCTGCTTTTTATTTACTGCCATTGTTGAACTTAGTCAAGCTTGTAAATTAATTTTGAATTTAGCTTGAAAGTTGGTTAATCATACAATTCCTTACTAGTAGATATAAGTTTGAATAACTGATCAAGCAGTTTTACAGCCAAGGAATAAGAAAAAAAATGACATAAACTACAAACTTTGAAAATGTAAATAGTTGGAAGATGCTTCAAATACAACTTGAGCCCCAAGCAAATACATGTTGATAGATCAACTACCAACTAATTATATACTTCTACTATTCAATAAAACTATCTTCATTATTAATTAAAAGGCTAATTAAAAGATTAATTATTTTCACAGTTTTGATGCAATGGAATGTTAGCTTGCAGAATTAAAGAAAGGAAAATATAATTGTTCTTTAATTGACTACTACTGAAACAATGACAACTAATAATACTACTGGAAAAAAAAGAATAATAAAAACAGCATAGTTAAGAAAAAAAAAATTCCATTATCCTTTTAACAAGCAATGCTAGAAGCTTAAGCAATTGGAGAAAGGTACACTTACGAGGTCAAGATCTTCAAAATTTACCCCAAATACCTGCCTATCATTGCTAAGGGTATCATTAATGGACAATGGAATTCTCTCTAAATAATCTACATCAACAAAATATTGCACCTCCAAGTATTCTTTTACTTTTGTGTCATACTGAAGATGCTCCTTAAGACTACCATAGGCAAGCTCTGCCAGCTCCTGTTCAGGATTCAGTTGGAGACAATAAAATAGCAAATGCAGAATAGCATCTGAGTTCTTAAAGTTAACTAGTCGCCCCTTCCTGGTGAAGAAACAGTATGTGCCAAATGGTCTGTAAGGAGAAAGCTTAACAAATGCAGATAAGGATCCAAAGAATGGGTTTGCACATCCCATGGCTAAACAGGCCCTATGACAGGAAAGTAATAGTGCATTTCTCAATATAGTGCTGTAGAAGAATGCCACAAGCTGAGAGTTCCCAATGACATCAAGGCTGAAGTAAAGATATTTAGGGCATGCCAAATGCAGAATGGCCTGAAGTTCTTCTTTACAAGATGCCAATGGTGTTAATAAAATTCGTGGAATGATATCTAATGGCATCACAAAATGAAAGAAACAGCGCGACCACCCTTCTCGATGTAGAGAATGACAAAAAACACCATCACCTACAAGTGGAGACCCGAAAGTCAAACAGAAAGGAATTACTTGACTTTTATTGTCAAATTTGACACATTGCTCAAGGAGCCAAATTGTCGCAAGGACTGACATTGCTCCTCCAAAAGAATGGCCAGTAAAAACTATCTGCTTCTTCTCAGCTACAACCCTATGAACCTGAAAGTCATGATGAATGATTTTATGTTAACCATCCATTCATCTCAAAGAAAAAACTAGAGAGAGCTTCTAACTGCATTAATAATAGAAAGTTAATAAGACAATTAGATTTTCACTATTATAGTAAGAGTTGAGTTCAATTTATCGTTCATTCATTAATTCATTTTGGCAACTTTTATACAGAGAAGATATCTTTCGTTTCCTGTGCCTAAAATCCTTACAGAAATAAGGAGCATATATAGCATTGTTATATTTGAGGTTTCTTTTCAAAGCTTCTGCTAACCTAGAAGAGGAGTATAGCAACAAGTAGGTTCCCCAGCATAGTGCTGCTTTTCTACATTCCCTTCTATTTGCTTATCTTATAACTTGTACTTCTAATTGCAGCGATTAAGAGGCTGAGTTTGGGTTTAGGGGAAGTGCAGGAAATTATACAATTGAGAAAATTTACATATAAATTATCAATTTAAAGCCCTCGATTTTAGAAACCAATTTTTTATTTTCGGTTATAATTTCCAAAATAATGACAGCTGTGATTTCTTCATGGATGCAAACCGACATGAGTCACAAGATATAACTAAGGGAGTTTTTTTGCTTAAGGTTTCTTTAAGGAAATTTAATGAAAACCAAGGTGCAAGAGCAATTCCTTAATATTCTCTTGCAACCATCTATTTTTTTCCACCCAAAGTATGTTTTTGATATGATATTTCCATGGCTTTGCTTGTTTATGTTTTGAAACATCTTTAATAATAACTTCATCTAAGAACCTTCATAAGGTGGAACTTCAATCATTCATCTATTCTATATACTATATATTAATGGACAAAATGAGGGTTTCTCTTATCTTCAAAGTATGTCATAAGAAAAAAACTCCATTTCAAAATGGAGCTCCCTTAAAATTTTTTGAAATTTTTTTTCTTTAGAGGGAATAAAAAGTACTCTATCTAAATGCTAAAGCCATGAAAAATGGGCAAGTTATATTTATTTAATCTGTCTATCTAAAATCTTCTACAAGATTACTGGCACACAGTGTACTATTTTAAATGCAGCATTTTATCCTAATTAATATTAAAATAAATTTGAAAAGATCACAAACAAACCAGTCCTAATTAAAAGCCATAAATCAAATTTAAAATTAATTTTAAATATGTAGTGGGAAAAAGAGAACGACACTCATTTAAAAAATTCACATAAAGAGAGACAAACAGATCCATTTCAAAATAGATCTCCTTAATTTTTTTATTCATTTGATAGGAAGCGAAAGTATTCTCAATTTGAAGGTTAAAGCTATGACGAAAAGGAAACTATATTATAAACCTAATATATCTAATATAATACGCATACTTCATTAAGCCATTCTCTCCGTAACTAGATGAAGAATCAAATAAAAAAGAATGTTACTTTGCTAATTACTGAAAAGATTAAATTAATCCTGATTCTAAAATTAAATTTTCTAATTATAACAAAAAAAAGGGTACTCGAAGATTTTATCTAATTTCAAATACTATAAAAGAATAATTTTTAAATATTTTATTTAAAATAAAAGCAAGCTCAATCTAATTAATACTAAAATTTAAATATTTTTTATGGCATATTTTCAAAATCATATAATAATTTATCAATTTTATCCTTCTAAATTTGATTATGTATCATCAATATTTTTGTTTTAATATGGTTGTAATCCCATGTGATGGATGGGAGAATAAAAAAGTATTAATCCTTTTTTAAATTAATATATAGCACCTAATGTTTAAAACTAATACAATAAAAAATATCTTTTATTCACCCATGCATTCCAAGGGATTATTTATTACATTTAATTAATCATCTAATTAGTACTTAATGAGCCCCTTAAATTAATTAATGCATTAAATGGTGCTTAATTCATCCATAACCTAATGAGCTAATCAGATAAACCAACCCCTTAATGACTTTGCTTTATAAATGCATGTAAAACTTCATGCTACTGAAATGCTTAAATAATTAATCCTCTCACTAGTGCCCAATGAACTTGCAAACAATAACTAATTCCTTAGTGCATTGTTAATCCTCAAGTTAGTAATAGTCCAAGTTGACTAATTAATTATTTAATTAATTACATGCTCTGCTCTTTCTCGCAGTCCTTTCCACGTGTTTGAACTCTATTATGAATCCACTCAAAATACCACATTAACCAATGGTTCCACTCAATACTATTCTAAGAGAACTCCTCGAGAAAAGAACTACTCTTGTATGTGGCTCTCAATCCTGTATCCTAAACTTGAACTCTTCCAATTGACAAATGTAGATGGATCAAGAGATCTCATTAATAACTGTTTCAATCAGCATATTTTTCCTATTAATATCATAGGATTCCTTCTCTTAAATAGTAATGTTTCTATTTACTGTGTTTATCATTATCTGAAAGAATTAATAACCTAGTTTAAGGGCGATTCCTTTTTTTTTTTTAATTTGGTCTGATTTTTTATGAACCGGCTGATTTGAATATAGATCAATTTATAGCCCTTTAATTTTGATTAAATGGCCATAGTAAAAGATTTAGAAGTTCTAGCAAGTTCAACCCTACTCCAATTTATTTTTTTGAGCTTTTAAATTGAATATTATTATTATTATCTGGAGTTAAATACCATAAAAATAATCAAAATAGCATGTCTCAAAATTTTTAGAATTATAATCAGAATATTCAATGTTGAAATGCCTTGATTTAGAAGATTATATATTAGATTAATAAAAGAAATATTCATTGTATTATTATTACATCATTTAAGTCATTTCAAAATAATTTTAATATTTATTACATCATCCGGTTCAATACTATTTGAACATTTGAACCTTTCGTCCTTCTGATTTGATGTTCGATCTGGTTTTCAAAACTTAAAATATTGTGATAGTAAAATATTCATGATTAGGAGAAAGAGAAAAAAAAAGAATAAAAATCAGGTGATTAACTTCTAGCTAGGTGGTTGCTCATTTGTATGCTATTATCTAAGATATTTTTCACCCTTCATCCATATAATTAGGGGAAACAATTACAAAAGAAGGATGGATTATGTTAAAATCTTAAATTAGATTAATTAAATTTGAAATTATTGAGTGCTATTGAAATTTATAAATAGACTCATTGTATTTATTTTACAAAGCTATTTGAATGGCTTCCCGAACCCCCCCTCGGGCGGCCACAAGCTCGCCCGAAAGTCAGAAGAAAGAAGAAGAAGAGAAATAAATGGAGTAGAACAGTGAAGAAAGGTAAGGAATGTAAGAGGAGAAATGCATCATGCATCAAAGTAAATTCAAGTATCTAGTACAGTTTAGATTATCTTTTTCAAGCTCTTATTCCCCATAAAAGCCTCTACAATATGTGGTAACCAAGATTGACCAGGCCTACAAGAACACAAATGCTTTGTTGAAACTTATAAGATGGTATTAGCCTATCCACAACCTCAAGGCCTACCTGTCTACCAATTGTTCTGAAAAAAAAAACTACAAAAATACTTTATCACTAAGTCATATCCTTATTAGCATTCTTAGTTGAGAGAAAGTTCATCATCAGCCCCACCCTAGTATAGAATTATTTAGCATCAGATCATATAGATCCAATACAACAGGCTACAATGGATAACCAGATATACAGTGAAATTAAATTGGATAAACAAGAAACCTTAGTAAGAAAGTTATCGAATAAGTGGAAATGCTAAAGACATCAAATGTTGCTGTTACTAGCCATGGGGTGTATGGAAAGAGAGTAATGTATCCAATGAAGAGGACAAATATGCTATTTTATGATAAGAGATGGGACGAATATCTACCAAGGAGACAACTTAACACATTTCCATTCAACATGCATGGAAAACAGACACGAATCATGTATGATGGATCAATAGATGCAAATAAAGTAGATGGTTACAATCATGAACTTCAAATTTCCTTTGAATGTCTAAAATTTTCCTCAATTTTCCTTTGAATGTCTAAAATTTTCCTCATATGCATTCTTGAAGTGGAACTAGGAACCTAAAAATCATGACTTGTCTAGAATGGCATAAATAAGGTTGATCATCTTTATCATGATAGTTATGACGCTGAGAACTGGATCCATTGGAAAAAAGGAGACAGAAGCATGAAAAAAGCGTGCATGACTTTATGAAATCTTGTAGCCAAAACAATGCCTTATAAACTTAATTGGAATATAAATAAGTTTTTATGTAGTATATTAACTTAACGAAAATCTATGCAAAAAGCTCAAATATCATAGTCAACAAAAGAAAAATCAGACCAACGACCACAACAAAAACAACTAAAGATGGAACCTTCCTCAAAATAGAAAGACAACATAAAGGAATCCTAATGAAGAAAGCCTATTTGTTCCCAATGGTCAAAATGGAGAGAAAACTTTATCATTTATTTATGATTGTTGGAGGCTACATCCAAAAAAAAATAAAGAGATCAGGCAAAGACACCGCTCAGAACAAAAAAGATCTCCATACTATCATTATTGGGAAATATATAACTGAGGTGACCAGTGACACAATTCTCTTAGATTTTTTATTATTATTATTTTATTTTATTATTTATTATTATTTTTTTTTATTTTTTTATTTTTTACAATTCTCTTAGATTTATGTCATGAAAAGGATCCTTATTTAAGGGAGAGAGATTTTGTGTATGAAAAAAGAGAGCAAACATATATATTTGCAAAATAGAGGTATCAAACACATTGAAGGAAATGGAATCTGCAAGGCAAGCTAATAAGGGGTACCCATCTGTGCTAACTACATAAACCACTTTACCCAACAAACTGCAACAGCATAAATCATTCCAACATCTTACAAGCAAAAGAAAGATTAGCCATCAACAAAATACGCAACAACTTGTTAAACTAGGCAAGGCCAAAAGAAGAAGTACCATGCAAACTTAGGCAAGTCAAGGAGTACCCAACTTACTGATCTAGTAAGTTCTGAAGAAGAAGCATTCAGGGTAAGCAAAGCAAGTCAGCACCATCCATAAAGGTGAAATATCAACAGGAACAAAGGATTCATTCCCTAGCAAAAGCTAGAAGTCCCTTCAACAACAACAACAACATCAAGCCTTTATCCCACTTAGAAGTCCCTTCAAGAGATAAAAATTAAGCAGCCTCAAAATTTTGACACGAATATTTACTAGCAATTTAAGAATTTAAAGGATAAAGGAGTTCTGAAAAGTTCTTAACCAAAGATCATGACAAAGAAAATATATCTTTTCTCTTCTTTCCACTTAATCATTCTTCTCCTTCCTCAACAAGCAATCAAATTGCTAGCAAAAGTGTATATAACTATATATTAATGTCATAAGGTAGCCTAAAATTGAACAGCCTAGCTCTTGCTCCCCCATTTTCTATAATTACTTAGTTCCCCTCCTTCCCTCCGCCCACTGTTCCTACAACTCAACCACTACGCTCACTACTACATTAACTAACCTTATGGGCCTATTTGTCTACAACTCCAAGTAGGATCTAATTCAAGAAGGATATAGTAAATCTTCTAAATCCAAATTTAGTAAATATTCTGAGGATTAAAATCGAAAAAATTATTTGCCATTGCAACTAGTAAATCTTGTTAAATCCTAATAAATTATTTGACTACTTAACAAATCCAGAAAATCAACAATGTAGCCTAAATGGGATTTAATAAAATAATAGAAATTAAATTATTCAAAATTCTACTTAACAAGACTTATGCTAAATCTTGTTTTAAATCCGCCCAAATTAGGACACCAAGCAGCCCCTATTAGCACTCACTAGCTCGCTTCTTGCACTCCTTTCTCCTGTTTTATTTTTGGGGGGTGAACCTTTCTCCTATCTTAATTCTACATCCATGATCTTTTCCAAGATATTTCAATGCTGCCACAACTCACTAAAGACAAAATTAGGAAGGAGGATATTTACATATATAATACATTTAATTCTTATATGTATAACATCTAAAATTTTTTTCTTTTTATATAATATTATAATTTTTAAGCCATATGAAATAAAATACAACTTTTTCATGCTAATACTTTGATTTATTTAGTCCTACATCCAAAAATAAGACATGTTACCTCAGCTTGGAGCCTGCCTTCCGCAAGGATTCTTTGGAAGGAGCGGAGGAACGCGAGATTAACTAAAGCGGGGACGTCGTTACCGAGGCTCCTGAGCGAAGGGAAGAGAGAGTTATCGACGGCAGTTTCGCCGAACGAGCTAGCAGGGAACGGATCGTCGTCTATCCAGTCATCGGCGGACCAAGAAGCCCGGAAGGCGAAGACGGAACACGGTAAGGGATCAGTGAAGGAGCAAATAAGAAAGGAGGAAGCCGGAGAGGAAGAGTGCGCCCTCATTGAAAGGACGCAACAACGCTCCACCATAATCCCTTCCAATGGATTCCAGTCTTGCTTCATCTCCGTTGGGCCTCAGGTCTTCTCTGCTCCCCGACCCCCTCCTTCGTCTTCTCAGCAGGGGCGGAACCAGCCCTGGGGCAAACTTATAAGATTTATATGTCGGGGGTGTAAGGGTTAGTATCACCTGGCGGGATTTGACTTGTTGTAGGCAATTATCTAAAGATTATAGTATTTTAAAATTTTTAAGAGGGCAATTGTCTAAAAATTCTTATAATAAAGACTAAAAAATAAATGAAAATAGGTAAATTAACTAAAAAAATCATATAAATAAATTTTTTAAAAATTTTTGAGGGGGGGGCAATTGCCCCCCTAGGAGCCATGGGGTTCCGCCCCTGCTTCTCAGTGTTGGCGATGTCGTTTCCCCAGAATTTGAAGAGGGAGGGCTTTCTTAGCAGTCGGACCCATTGGAGATTTGGAGTGGACTCAAGGGCGGCTTGGCATTGCCAGTCAAACAAAAATAAAGTTGGGATATTTTATTATTTGTATATATATATATATATATATATATATTTCACAACTCATTTTGACCTGCTAGTTGAGAGCTTAGGCTTTCAACTAAGAGATCTTGGATTCGAATCTTTGTGTATGTGTTCCTTTTTTTTTCTTTTTTTTCTTTTTTTTTGTATGTGTTCCTTAAATGACCTAAATGTCCTAAAAAAAGTATTTACTTTTTTTTTTTGAAAAAATTATAGTTATAATCATTTATATTTATAAGGAAAGAAATGGGTTATAACTACAATCCATTACAGTATAAAGAAGAAAGATGAACCGCTATCAAAAAGTAAGCAAGCTCATCTAAAAAAAATCATAAAAAGACAACTATCCACATGATAGTGAGGAACAACATCCAAAAATTAAACCATAACTGAGTAGCAAACCAACCAAAAGGAATAAGAGCAAAAAAACCCTATAACAGAGAGATAACAAAATGAGAAGGGCCATAAGCCACAATGTCAGGACCCAGGATATTAAGGTGAAAATTCATCAAAATTGAGCAGCAAAGAGGCCGCCCTTTGTTGATATAAGATTGTCCAAAGGGTGAAGGTATGGAATTTGAGGGAATGTCATCATCGTCTTTGGCACAAAAAATCCCCCCATATCAGGTAAATCATAATGAAAAGCATCTTGATAGAAGCTTGAAAATAGCAGACCAGTAAAATGTCAACACCAAGAAAACCAAATGAAAATATATCTCCAAAATCCAACCAGCTCCAAAATTCAAAAAATACCACAACAGTTATAACCAAATAATAAATGATTAATAATAAATTTCTAAAAAATTATAGTTTAAAATTGCGCAATATGAGGCTCGCCTTGAGGCCCGCCTTTGCGCAATTCCAGTAAAAAACGCCTCGATGCTTACGCCTCAAGTTTTTTTTATGAGGCTTGCGCCTCAACTTGGTTGAGGCCCGCCTTGAGACCCGCCTCGCCTCACTGGCATGAGGCTTATGCCTCACGCTATATATATTAAAACTTACATAAATCTTGAAGTAAATGCCCGACATTGGACTCTATAGGAGAGGAGGAAGGGGAGAGAGCAGTTCATCATAATGATGATGCAAATGAAGAACCCCTTAGTGGTGATAGTGCTGATGACTTATGAGTTCTTATGTGATATGTCCTTGCTTTTTATTTTTGGAAATTGAAATTATATGTTAATGAAAAGAATAATGGGATTTGGGAAAGATAGAATTTTGAGTTGAACTATATTTCATGTTGTCTTATTATTGGGATATTTTGATTTCACTTCATATCTTATGCTTTTTTATTGTTTATATTATTCACTCATTAGTATATAAAAAATTTATTATTTTATGTTTATGCAATCTTTTGATTTTGAGGCTTACGCCTCAAAACGCCTTGAGGCTTACGCCTCGCCTCACGAATGAAAAACGCCTCAATACCCGAATACGCAATTTTAAACATGGACCACAACTACATCCAATCCCCATCAACCAATCGAACCAAAGAACATAGCATCCAAGAGAAAAAGCTCTCAAAAGATATCATTTGGATAAGCCATCATAAAAAGCCCAGCAATCTTTAAGAATTTCACCATATTTCCTATTTGATAACTTCAAACAAACAACCCTTTGAATCTTGGAGCATAAAGTGGAAATGCTCTCAAAATTGGAGTTAAAATGGCTTTCATTTCTTTTTTTTCCAGATAAAGAATATAGTACAACAAATAATAAGAAAGTAAAATTGTGTATTCTTCACAGTGCAATTCATATCCTCCACAAAATCTAAGATATGTATTAGGTTGCGTCTTAAAAGAAAATTCCCCATAACACACATAAAATTAACCAAAACAAAGAAAGAATAATCACATTCAAAGAGAAGGTGAGCAGTAGTTTCAAATTGAGCTTGATAGAGATAACATTTAGAATCAATAGGAATGTTTCTTTTCACGAAGACATCAGCTATTTTAAGACCCCCTTGTAATGTCAACCAAGCAAACACATAGTACCTAAGAGCATGATGCTTATGCCATATATATTTAGACCAAACGAATATTTGATCATCCCTATAAAAATTGTTAAGAAATGCACTAAAGGAGGCATTTTTATTGTCCTTCCAAGTTAGAGTGCAAGCTTGACTATTAAAAATCTAAATAACTAAAATAACATAATGCAGATACTCATCCAAAGTGATAGGAAGGTTCCAAATACCCCTAGTAGTAATGTCAGAGACAATTGTATTCAGGGAAAATAAAAATGCAAAGTAGTTATTATAAAGGGAGGAAGATATATGGGACCCGTTGAGACAAGGATCCCAAAGAAGAGAGACCTTACTATTATGGAAAATAGAGATATTGATCCTACTAGAAATAATCTCGGCCACACTATGGACCAAAGCTTAGAAGGTTTAAAAGAAAGTGGTTTCCATGGGGAACAATATTTAGTGAGGAGCTAGTGATTTAGAGGGAACTGGAGTTATAAAACCTAATGATTATGTAGTAGAAATAGGTAAACTGGAGAGCTTTGAGATCAAGAAGCTCAAGACCCCCAAATTTTGTGGGCTTGCAAATCGTCTGTCAGGAGATAAGGTGGAGTTTCTTAGCATTAATATCACTGAAGCACAGGAACTTGCAACACAATCTTCCCAAGCTTTTAAGGCAAGACTTGGGAATGATAGAGCCATATATTATGCAATAGTGTTCCAAATTGTGTATCTCAAAATTGAAGTCGACCAACAAAAGAAAGAAGTCTAGCCTTCCAGCTAGTAAGATGGTTAGTAATAGCAAGAAGCAGAGGTTGGAAGTCAGTAGGGCAAGCTTTTTTTGGAGGATGTGGGAAGACTAAGGTAGGTTAGCTTAGTGCAATGAGTATGAATAATGAGATAAAAATAAATATCATGAGGAGAGGTAATGCCATTGGAGATATAATAGATATATATAAGGTAGGTTAGCTTAGTACGTAAGCCAAAAAAACTTGGAAAAGTAGTCTAGGACCTCAACTAAAGCCTAATAATTTTTAGTAGAGGCGCTGCCAAACACTAGGAGGTCATCAGCATAAAGTAAGTGGGATAGTTCAAAACAATCACAAGATATACTAATAAAGTGATTATGAGAGACAAGGTCATTAATCATGTAAAAGAAGGCATCTAGAACAATACAAAATAGGTAAGGGCTGAGAGGGAAATCCTGCCTCAAACCTGATTAGGAATTAAAAAATTCATTAAAGCCTCATTAATGCGTATAGAAAAGTGCACATCATAGATACATGCCCTAATCAAACAAATAAAGAGAGGGTTGAGCCATTCTATCAAGAACAAAATCCCTGGAAATAATATCAAAGGCTCTTATGATATCAAACTTAGCACAAAGAAGCTTCTTCCTTAAAGACTTCTTAAACTCCAATAACAATTTGAATGTAAGAAGCACATTGTCAATAGAGACCAATTTATGAATGAAACTAGGTTGGTTGTCACAAATAATATAAGGCATAATCCCCTTAAGCCTAGAAGCTAAGATTTTCGAAATAATCTTATAAAATACATTACACATGGATATAGGCTTGACATCCGATAAGTTGTTTGAATGAGAGGACTTTGGGATGAGAGAAATGGCTATAGTCTGGACCTTCATAGGGAGATAACATTTAGAAAAGAAATATTACACAACCTTACAAACCAAAGGCCCAACAACTAGCCACCCACTCTATAAAATTCAAAGTTAAAGCCATCAAGGCCAAGGGTAGATGAGGAGTGCCCATAAAAAATAACAGTCTTAATTTTAGCATCGATAACTAGTTCAATAAGAATGGCATCATACGAAGAGGAATAATAAAGCCCTTTTTAATAAAAGAGATATCTATATAAGGGGGGAGAGAGGGGGGGGGGGGGGGGGGGGGGGTGGTGTTAGAGGATTTTTAAATGTTGAATGTTGGAGGTTAACATCTCCTATTAGTTGGAGATGGCAAAAGTAGCAAGTATATGGGAACAACTATAATTTCTTCTTGTTTTATTTTATTTTTTCATACAAAACTTTAGATCATCTTCTCCTTGAATTAACCACTTCATTTTAGCTCTCTGAATGATCCAAGAGGTCTAAGAGGAGGAGAAATCATAAATTTTAACATTAATATCCTTGAGTTTTAGATTAAGAGCCAGGTTCAAGGGATTCGAATTGAGGAGGCTAAGATAAGTAGACTACTAGATGTGGAGATTATTCAAATAGGTGGAGAGGGAAGTAGAGTTAGCCAAAAGTTTTCTTTGATGATACTTTTTAACTTTTGAAGTTCATGTTAGATGCCAAAAATCATATTCCTATGGAAATGCTGGGTAAAAATAGTTACTAGATCTTCCTAATATCTATCTTGATTTATCCAAAAATTCTTGAAAAGGAACCTATGGTTTGACTTATGAGAGTAGCCAGGGCATAAGATAAGTGGAGACTGGTTGGAGCATAAGGGATGAGGAATATTATAGTAAGAGTTTGAGAGTTCGTTAGGGATTTTAGGCCCTTATGAACTGGCCCAAGGCTAATTAAGAGAGAGGTGAATTGGTATTTTAAAATAAATCATTCGATCAAAAACACAAACCAAGATTCACCACAAAGAAAACACAATGCGAAAAAATAAATGTAGAAATAATAAAGGAA